GTGGCCGTTTGCGGTTCGGTACGCGGCGCATCAGATCAACCTTCACCCCAGGGTCTCCCGGCCGGAGACCTCCCCAGCTCTGCTGTGGACGGGGAAGGTCGGCGATGCGTCTGCGTTCCGTGTCTGGGGATCTCGGGCGTTTGTCCGCGACTTGTCTGCGGACAAGCTGTCCCCTCGTGCTGCTCCCTGTGTCTTCCTCGGCTTCCCCCCTGACGCCCCAGGGTGGCAGTTCTACCACCCCTCCTCTCGTCGTGTTCTGTCCTCCCAGGACGTCACGTTCGACGAGTCAGTCCCCTTCTACCGCCTCTTCCCCTACCGCACTCCTTCCCTCCCCCCGCCACCGCACTTCCTTGTGCCAGGTCCCCCCCCGGTAGACCCCCTTCCCCCTCAGGGTCCTGCCCCTTCAGGTGTGTCCCAGGTAGACGCAGTCGAGCCGGTCGAGGTTGCTGGTGACTCTGGTCCTGCTGCGGGTGCTGAGCCTGGGGGTGCTGACTCTGGGGGTGCTACGCGCGTGGGTGCTGAGCCAGGGGGTGCTGAGCCTGGGGGTGCTGAGTCTGGGGGTGCTGAGCCTGGGGGTACTGCGACTGGGGGTGCTGAGCCTGGGGGTGCGGAGTCTGGGGGTGCTGAGCCTGGAGGTGCTGTGACTGGGGGTGCTGAGCCAGGGGGTGCTGCGTCTGGAGCTACTGAGCCTGGAGCTGCGGAGCCTGCGGCCACTGGACCTCCCCTTGTGGCGTCTGGCGGTGCGGGACCTGGCGGTTCTCCGGGTGCTTCGCCTCGGCGGGAGCCCCTCTCTCCACAGGAGCTGCGCGAGCGGTTTGCTCGCCGCTGGAGACGTACTGCTGGAGCTGGAGCTCCTTCGTCTGCTGAGGGTACTTGTGCCGCTGGTCCCGGAGCTGCTGGGCCCTCGGGTCCGCCTGGAGCTGGAGCTGCCGCGGGTGTTGGTGCTGAGACTGCTGCTGTCCTTCCTGGCGGTGGTCCTGCTGCGGGTACTGCTGGTGCTGCTGGAGGTACTGGAGCTGGAGGTGCTGTTGGCGCTGGTGCTGCTGCTGAGGGTGCTGTCCCTGCTGTGTCTGGAGTCGCCGCGCGGCCTCGGCCGTACTTCGTTCCACTCCTACAGCAGGTTCTTGGTCTTTCTCCTCCTGCAGCGTGTCCACAGCCTGTTCAGTCACAGTCCCAGTTAGAGCCCACCTCCCCACTTCCTGCTCCCTCTCCTTACACTGGTCCCACTGGAGGTCTTGCTGAGCGTCGTGAGCCTGCGTCTCGTCCTGCGTCGCCTGTTCGTGCTGCTCGCGCTAGTGGTCGCGGTTCGCGTCAGCGTCCTCCTCCTGTCCCTGGCACGCACCGGATGTCTTTGCGTCCGTCCACTGCTCCTCTGCGTGCCCCTTTGCCTTCTCCTCCTGAGTCCTCCCTTCCTGCACTTACCGACCCAGAGTCCGACTCTCTTCGTGCTGCTAGTCCTACTGTCACACGTCTCCTTGCTACTGTCGTCACTGACCCCTCTTTTGAGTCCACTGCTGCGTTTGCTCTTGTTGCTGAGCTCGTCGACTTTGCTGCTAGCTGTCGTCTAGACTACGCTGCCGGTCTTGTTGCTGAGTCTGCGTCTGTCTGTCCTCCGTCCGTCGGGGGTGAGTGTGCTCTTGGCACGGACGTCCTTGAGGACAGGCAGGAGGAGTTCCAGTGTCTGGCTGCTGCTTCACCTCATCTCGCGTCCGTACTACTTGCCCCTGAGGGAGACCCGGATGCACTAGACATCCCGACTCCGCGCTCTTACGCGGAGGCCGTAGAGGGTCCCTACTCCTCTCAGTGGCAGGCAGCTATGGATGCAGAGATGGCGTCCTGGAAGTCCACAGGCACCTACGTTGACGCGGTTCCCCCTCCTGGGGCGAACATCGTCAGTGGCATGTGGATCTTCAGGGTGAAGCGGCCGCCGGGCTCTCCACCTGTCTTCAAGGCGCGGTACGTCGCTCGTGGCTTCAGTCAGCGGCAGGGAGTTGACTACTTTCAGACCTTCTCTCCCACCCCGAAGATGACCACTCTTCGGGTGCTGCTGCACATAGCCGCTCAGCGCGACTACGAGCTCCACTCTCTTGACTTCAGCACTGCTTTCTTGCAGGGTAGCCTGCACGAGGAGATCTGGCTGCGCCGTCCACCTGGCTTCACTGGGACTTTCCCTACTGGCACCCAGTGGAGCCTCCGACGGCCAGTCTACGGTCTCCGCCAGGCACCGCGTGAGTGGCACGACACACTGAGGACTACGCTTGCGGCTCTTGGGTTTGCTCCCTCTACGGCTGACCCGTCGTTGTTTCTGCGCACCGACACTTCTTTGCCGCCGTTCTACATCCTCGTGTACGTCGACGACTTGGTCTTTGCCACAGCTGACACTGCTGGACTCGCCCACGTGAAGTCCGAGCTGCAGAAGAGACACACGTGCACAGACCTGGGTGAACTGCGCAGCTACCTTGGCTTGCAGATCACTCGGGACAGAGCACGCCGCACCATTACCTTGACTCAGTCACACATGGTGCAGCAGGTCCTTCAGCGCTTCGGCTTCACGTACTCCTCGCCTCAGGCCACTCCTCTGTCTACTCGCCACTCGCTCTCAGCTCTGCCTTCGGATGAGTCCGTAGAGTCGAGTGGCCCGTACCCAGAGCTTGTTGGCTGCCTCATGTACCTGATGACCTGCACACGACCTGACCTTGCATACCCTCTTAGCATTCTTGCACGCTATGTTGCTCCTGGGAGACACCTCCCTGAGCACATGGCTGCAGCGAAGAGGGTGTTGCGCTACTTGTGCAGTACGTCGGGCATGGGGCTAGTGCTTGGAGGGCGGAGTCCAGTGGTCCTCACTGGACACGCGGACGCTTCTTGGGCTGACGACCAGGCTACGCAGCGGTCGTCGCAGGGTTACACCTTCAGTCTTGGTTCCGGCTCTGTCTCGTGGCGGGCTACTCGCTCGTCCTCTGTTCTCGGCTCCAGTTGTGAGGCTGAGATCTACGCCGGGGCCATGGCTGCACAGGAGCTTCGCTGGCTCACCTACCTGCTGACTGACCTTGGAGAGCCGCCTCGTTCTCCTCCAGTGCTGTACGTAGATAACAAGGCCATGCTGGCCTTGTGTCGAGAGCAGCGCTTGGAGCACAGAACGAAGCACATTGCTCTCCGTTACTTTCTTGCTCGTGAGCTGCAGCAGCGTGGTCAGTTGCGACTTGCGTACGTGGCCTCTGAGGCCAACACTGCTGATGTGTTCACCAAGGCACTTGCGCCTTGTGATCATCAGCGCTTCTGCACTCAGCTGGGTCTTGTACCTGTCTTGCCTCACTTGCTCTCCTCTTGACCTTGCTTGTACTGTCACATATATATACCTGCTCTTGCTTGTCTAGCTCTATATATATATGTGCACTCCTGCATGTGAACTGGCCTTGTGGCCTTGTCGTTGTGCTCGGACTGTGTGGTGACTTTGTGATCCACCCTGAGCTTGCTGTGCTTTGCGTGACTGGTCTTGTGACCCCTTGTTCTCCCCCACTTTGCCTATGGGGGTGTGTCAGAACATATATATAGCTTATGCTGTTGTGTAGGCTATAGTGGGGTATCCCATAGGGGGTACAACCCAATTAGGGTTTCCTATATGTACTCACTTCATTCATAGTTCATTCATCCTTGTTCAAATCTTCTCAGTATTGTAAAGAATAGGCGACTTTGATGCTGATTCGCTGTTAAAACATCTGCAACACGAACTGTTGTGAAATTGCGAAGGTCCTGATTCGTAGTGAATGTTTCGTGAGGCACTGCCTGATGTTCACACGCCACGCCAAGCAACAGTTTTTGCCTGCTGCCAGCTCAGCTGCGTGGCACTTGGCCCACCTGATACTGATCGGGTGAACGATCGCATCGCTTGAAACGCAAATCCAGAATTGACAGAATCAGCACACAGGCAAGAAAGTGGGTACAGTACATAATGGTAATCACACACACGACAAAAAGATATGAGATCAGCAGAAACAACCATGCGCTGCACGTGACAAAAACACCGGAACGCCGCCGACATGAGCAGAGGCGACCCACGAGCACGTTGCCTGATGCGTTGGTAGGTTGTAATCAGCTTCAATGCTATTACAACTGTGCTTTTACGAAACTGCATGAACAACTTAAAATTTGAAGTAACTCTGACAGTTCATACAAAAAAAATAGTGTTTGTGTGAATTTTTTGACTAATTTTGAGGCACCTCTGACAGACAGAGTTCCAGGAGGGGTGTACTCTAATCGATCAGAGTGCCTCAAAACGAATCTAGGGGCCTGGGGTGGAGGCCAAACGGCCTCCAACCAACCCTCATTATTTACTTGGGAGTAGGCATTCGCAGTTGCCTTGCTCACTGCAGTCAGCTTCGCTGCAGTCAGCTGCGCTTTCATAATACACATTTTTAGAAAGTCGTACACACTTTCAAACAAATTTATGATAATTGAGAGTCTTAGGGAACGTTCCTGCGGAGACACTTATGTCTGAAACCCTTTGTGACTCGGAAAAACAGCATATAACGTATTGCGTCACAAACGCGGACCGCCCTAATGCGATCCACACCGTTTCGACATTGGTTGGCGGGAATTGCGGGGGTGTCTCGGACGAGTTACACGAGGCCCCGTCACCTCCCGAAATCGCATGCGTCCCGAAATGTCACATTATACAGCATGCACCTGGACTCTTGAAATGGGCAATTTTCGAGCGGGAAAAGGAAACTGACATGTGGATGCCCAGGTAGAGAGATGACTGGTGGATGCGACCGTTTGGTCACATCCCTGCTCGACCTCCAACACCCCGTTTCCTCCACGCTGACAGCACTCACCCGCTCCAGTCCATTCTTGTACTCCAAACCCCAGCTCTCTCTTTCTAGTTTCTTGTTGTATTTCCAAGCCGTAGCCATGGCCCGTAAACGCAAGAGCGTAGCTAGTACTGCTGAATTGCTAGCCCGTAAACGCAAACGCAAGAGCGTAGCTAGTACATCGCTTGGATGAACAAGCAACTCGCGGCCGGCCGCAAGCCCGCCAACCCTCTGCCCGCTGATGCGCCTGGTGCGGGGGACACCTTGTTCGAAGCCCCGCGTGATGTCCCTACCCGTGGACGCCGTCATCCCGACCGGGTTGCATCATCCCCCGTCGTGGACGACGAGGCCTTCGACGACGACGTCGACGACTCTGATTTCAACGACTGCGACGAGGCGTGCGACGATGATGCGGACTCTGGCGAGGAGGAGGACAAGGGCATGTCCCCCTCCGAGGACGAAGACGACGCCGATGAGGACGCCGACGACGACGAGGACGCGCCCGAGGAGGCACAGCCTGCTACCCCGCCTCCCCTTCTCGCTCGTGGTACTGTAGCGTCCGGAACCAAGACTGCTGCGAAGGGCGGAGAGCCTCCTCGTGGCGCGGCCAAGACGCGCAACCTGCACCCTGTCAGGTGGAGCGCGTGGTCCCCCCGCGAGAGCACCATCTTCGTGGCGGCTTGTTGGTTTATGAAGGACGAGCTCGGCGCCCTCCTCAGGAAGCAGGGATCCCAGTACTGGGCCCGCCTCGTGCGCCACCTCGAGCAGGAGAATTCCGGGTGGGTGCGCGGCGTGAATGCACTGCAGAAGCAGTGGCGCAACCTCGTCAACATGTACAAGCAACTTATGATGGGGGAGAAGGCAAGTGGCAAAGGGGCGGTGTGCAAGCCCCCGTGGTACCCGTACATGGAGCTCTTCCAGAACAACAAGGCAGTGGGTAACCCTCACGCTGTCGACGGAGGTGGCGCGGCACACGACAACGTGCCTTGCGGGTTCGCGGTCCCGTCCCCGTCTGCACCATTCACATCTACTCCGACTTTCACTGGTGAGTCTGCTACACATCAGCAGTTCTTATCGTTTAATTTTGATAAGGCATTTCTACAAAATTGTTTCAAACTTGTGTGTTTACGATTCATGATATCAGACACCGCACAGCTTCTAATGCTACCACGCGTTGCTCGCGTGTGCGGCTCCACCTCCGCAGGGAACGCCTACTTCGAAGCGCCCACGTGTGGCAGAAACTGCAACGATGGCCGCCGCCAAGCTGGAGTGTGATACAATCAAGGGCTGCCACTCTGACGCGATGAACAGGCTCGAAGGCCTCGTCCGCGCGTGGATGGAGCAGGACGCGCGGATTGCCCGCGAACGCATGCAGCAGCCCGCCCCCTACCCGCCGGCCCACGACAACATCCTCACGCACGCGGACAACATGACCGCGACGCACGCCGCCTAAGGCGGTGACGACGGCTAGCTCCGCCGCGGGCAGGCGGGCGACAACGCCTCTAAGCTTGATGCGGGCGAGGAGGTGTGGGTTCGCGGCGCCGCCGATTGAGGTAAGACGACTCCAGAGCCTCGCCCAGCCGCTTGCGCCTTTCTCCCAAGTTCGCCTGCGTGCACGGGTTGCACGGCTCCCACTTGTACTCTGCGACTGCGCCACGAGTCCACCACGGGTCCCAGTTTCGGGGCAGGTTCGCCCAAGATGCATTGACATGCCTAACTGCTCCCATCGTCTCACACATGTTGTGCAGGATGACGCCACAAGACGCCACTGCAAGAATGCGCCAGAGCATGCAATAATTGCGGCCCGCGGATAGACGCCACCGGCCTTTGAAGGCGCCGATGCAGCGCTCTACTGCCATGCACGTTGCGCTTTGGCAGTAGTTAAAGCACTGCTCCCAGTCATCCATTAGGCCTTCACAGGGTGCATGTAGGGGGGTCAGGCAGCAATCCCTGAGTGGGTAGGCAGCATCTGAGTGGTATGGCTCTATGTCGCCGTTGTGCAACCTTTCGTGTAACGCGCTGTTCATGAACACTCTCTGATCGTGTGCACTGCCCGGGTATCCGATCAAGTAGTCCCCTATGATGCCTCACGCGTCACATGTGAGCTGCAGCTGGACGGCGTAACATGACTTGCACGTGTAGTACTCTTGCCTGTGCCCCTCCATCCCCTTCATGGGTATGTGTGTGCCGTCTATAGCCCCCACCACAGCAGGGACTCCTTTGATGGCGCGGAACTCCTCTGCCATCTCGTCGAGGTCGTCACGGGTCGGGAAGTGGACCCACTGCTGCTTGAATGCGGTCGGGAAATGCATGAGGAGCACGTCTACAAGCATGTGGCACAGGGTCTTGGACAGCCCGAAGACGGATGACAGGTCTCTACACTCATGCCGCTGGCCAGGTATTTGATAGCGACAAGGCATGCCACATTGTGACTGGTGATGTATCTGTCAACGTACGGCTTCATGTAGTGCATCATCCCGACAACGATGTAGTCAAGAATACGGCGGTTTATGCGAAACAAATCCCGGAATTCATCCTCCCCCATGCCTTCCAGGTCCTCTAGCAGCAAGTGGTACCTCCGCCGGCGAAGCCCTGCCCGTCTCTTCCGCTCGGCAGTGCGGTTGGAGCCACGTGAGCTGGAGGCCGAGGACCCTTCCTTGGTGAAGACGTTCGGCTCCAGCAAGCCGCCGACTGATTTGGCGACGGCGTCCATGAAGATGCTGTAGTAGAACGTCACCCATGCGACAAGCAGTCTCATGAGGAATGGCACCTCGCGGGGCTGTGCCATAGTTGCTAGACAGGGAGGCACATTGTGACTTTTTGTACTTGCGCCTGTTTTTGTTGAAGTAGTTGCACACAGGCCAGTGTGTGTGGAGTGTTTCGAACAAGCCCGACTCGACCCAATTGCAACTTCTTTTACCGTGGCTAGCCCCCGCCGCGATTGTAGACTGGGATGCCCGGCGGGAAAACTGCCGCGGGTCCAATCCAAGTGGTCGCCACCAATAGAAAGCGCCCACCTGGCCGTGCCCATCTGTCGCTCAGAGTCGCGAAACATTGTTTGTTTGTGACACAACATTTGGCAAATTTACAGGCGCGACTCAGGAAAACGGGGGTTGAGACACAAGTGTCTCCACAGGAACGTTCCCTTATTGTTAAATACCCTTTAGAAAACGTGAAACAAGGATGCTGGTCGTATGCAGAGCAGCTCAAATCCTATCCAAAAACCCAACCCCTGTGCTCCTGCTGCCCTGCATCTATAGTTCCATGCTAAATAGGCCACGCCACATGTAGGGGAAACTCAGCGCCCTTTGGTTGGCTTCAATTGCAGCAACTCCTAAGGCCATCACCTATCGAGCTGACGCGCATAAATGAGCTCACACCAGAATGTGAGCCATCAGACCTCTCGGTCTCCATCCCACCATCTCCAAACGACACAACAGAAACATCCCTGGAAGACACACCCTCGTTGCTTGCACTCTCTTCTCTCGCAACATTTTCCCACTCATCCTCCTTGTCGGGGCAGTGCTTTTCAATGAGGGCATTGAGGCGGTATGCCACATCCTTCATGGTGGGTCGCCGTGTGCCGGGAGACTTGATGCAGTCCAGAGCCAGGTCTGCAAAGTCCACTATCGCCTCCTCAGTGACCACTGGCATCTTGCTGTCCCTCAGCTCCTCTAGATTATACGCCTCCACCCTTTTTATTGCCTGGAGGGCATCCACACAAGGAAAGGACGATGCATGGGAGAGGCGGTGAAAAACAGCATGATAAGCAGGAAAGGTGGTGCAAGGCAGCATGGCAGCAAGGAGAGGCTGTGATGCCCAGAGTGAGTCTGAATTCAGGACAAACGCACGGCCATGAAAACAAAGGAGTAGGAGACAGATTTGAGATGTGATGGGCACAAACATTCTCTGATATGCAACATTCAGATTTGCGCCAACTGTAAACGTGGATCTGATGCTTGGCGATCGTACCCATTTGCTTATATGCGTTTTTGAGTCAACTTGGGGTGAATTTCCACTCAGCAGCTCAAGAAGCATGATTCCAAAGCTGCAAGCAAGCAGGAGCATGCCACATTGTGATTAATCTTTGGAAAAAAAAGGAGGGAGGTACAGGGTACAAGAAATGAACAAGAAGGACGATTAGAAAACAAGTGAGGTGCACAAGTTCACGGCTTTGTGCAAAGGAACGAGCATGCATGCTCACCTGAAGACATCGCTCTTGGCAGTGATGACGTTGGTGCGGTTGTAGTCCGGGTCCACATAGCCCGGCGTGCCGGCCACTCGCGTGGCGTCAGCATCGCCGTGAGTGAGGCGCTTGAGCAGCCCAAAGTCAGCCACCTTGGCTTGCATGTCGGCTGTCACAAGGATGTTGGCGGGCTTGATGTCGCGGTGCACGATGGTTGTGTCGAACCCGTGCAGGTACGCCAGACCCTCCGCTGCTCCCTGCGCTAGGCGTAGCCTCTGGCGCAGAGAGAGCGGGCCTGAGTTACGAAACACGTATATGGAGCAGAACGGGCAGTAATATGAGAAACGGTGTCATGCTCCGTTCAAAATGCACACAAATATATGTATTTATATATATGTATATACGACCAGTCGTGCCAGTGCAACTCATGCATGCAAGGAAGCGCAAATGCCTGGCAACCATTTCACCAATCATGCCCGAGCAACTCACGGCAGAGCAACTCACGATTGGAGGCATGGACATGGTACTGGAGGTCCCTGTTGCCGATGAACTCGTACACCAGGATCTGCTCCTGCCAGCCCGTGTCCACGTTCTGATCCAGGCAGAAGCCCAGCAGGCGCACGAGATGCGCGTGGTGCAGGGATGCCATGGCTCGCACCTGCAACATGCACGTGGACCACTTTTTGAGTCGACCGAAAAACATGCGCGTGGACCACTTTTTGAGTCGACTGAAAAACATGCGCGTGGACCACTTTTTGAGTCGACTGAAAAACATGCGCGTGGACCACTTTTTGAGTCGACTGAAAAACATGCGCGTGGACCACTCTTTGAGTCGAAGCATGCGCGTGGTGGAGAGAGACAGGCAATGGCTCGGACCTGCACCATGGACATGGAACACAACGCAGGCTGATGCAGATGGGAATGGAAAGGCGAGCACATAATCTGCAAGTCAGCATTTTCTGTGCTGTGTGGGCAGAAAGCAGGGAGGAGTAGAGCGATGCCTGACCTCCGTTTCAAAGTCGTTGGTCATGATGGTGGAGCGCTTGATGGCCCACAGCTGGCCCTGTGGCGAGCGGCCTTTGTACACAACGCCAAAGCCACCCTTGCCTAGCACATTGTCCTCTGACCAGTTGTTGGTGGCCTTGAGCATCTGCTGCAGCGAGAACTGCTCACACACATCCAACCCCTCCCACTTCTCTGTGCACACAGCAGGACACGGGGAGCGAGCGACCGAGAGGAGTGAGTGAGTAAGTGTGTAGATGAGTGGAGAGAGCACGAGGGTAGTGGAAAGGCAGAGTTGTATTGTAATGTAGAAAAAACGGCAGGGAAATTGAGCAGAAGAGGAGGCCAGAAAACAGATAGAGCATTAGGGGAGATGGAAAGGAGGTGAAGAAGGGTGGAGGGGCTCACTTGGTCCGCGGGGCCACAGCAGCCATGCGAGCACGGCAGCCAGCAGCGTGAAGCCCGCAAAGCAGCCCACCACCATGCCCACTATGGCGCCCGTGGATAGAGAGGCCACTGGCAAGGAAGGGAGGTTCAGGGGAAGGAGTTGGTTATTAGCGGAGCTGTGGCAGCACGAAAAAGAGTGATAAGATTTGGGTAACAGAACCTTCATGGCATGGTTATGGGGGGAACGGGGGGGGGGGGGGGGGAGGGGGAATTAGGGGGGAAATGGGGGGGACGAGGGGAGGAAGGGGGGGAGACGAGGGGGGAAGGGGGGGGACGAGGTGGGGAAAGGGGGGGGGGGGACGAAGGGGGAAGGGAGGGGACGAGGGGGGGAAGGGAAGGGGGTGAGGGGAGGAAAGGGGGGGGACGAGGGGGGAAGGAGGGGGGAGACGAGGTGGGGAAGGGAGGGGGACGAGAGGGGGAAAGGGGGGGAAGCGAAAGAAGTAGAGAGAGGGAAGAGAGTGGTAGTGAAGCTAAAGAAGGCAGCAAAGAGGGTTGGGTACACGATGGAAGGGGAGCAGGGCAGCAACCCAAGCCACTGACCGAACATACCGGGTGGGGACGGGGGTGGCAGCTGGCAAGTGGTGGTGTTGGCAGTGCCGGCAGCAGTGACAGCCACGTAGCCACTGGCACAGGAGCACGAGAGGGACGGCGGCCAACCGCTCTCCACCACACAGTGCCCCGCACCCACACCCCCACATGGGCCCTGCCCTGACTCTATCCCACACACTGCCGCACACTCTGCCGCCCCCCGCTGCTGCCCCACCCCCTCACTCCCCAGACAGTTCCCATCCACAGCCAGCCATGCCACTGCACTGCTATTCCCCCTGCCCTCCCCCCCTGCTCCAGTTCCCCCCTGCTGCTCCCCCTGCCATACCCATACCCACTGAGAGCTCGATGCGTCCTGGACTGCCCAGGGGGGGAGGGACTGGGGTTGGGGGGTCGCTGGCAGGACGAGGGAGGGGAAGGGTGGGGTTGGGGAGGAGGAGGAGAGGGTGATGTTTGGGGAGGTGGAGAAGGAGCCGTAGAGGTAGTTTCCGCTGAGGTCCAGGCTGATGGGCGGCATGTTTTGGAAGGATGCGGCGTCCATGAAGAGGAGATTATTGCTGACGTCACTGGGAGACAGGCGCAGAGTAAGGGGAAGCAGGGGTCAAGGGGGGGGGGAGAGGTGAGGAGCAGAGACGGCCTGGAAGGTAAGGAAGCGGAAATTGCAGCACGATTGGAGGTCGAAAGTCACAAATGAGATTGTGACAAGAGGCGAACAGCCTCTTGTCGGTGAAGGGTGAAGGGCTAACGGTGAAGGGGGGAACAGACATGAGTTGGATGGAGGAGACGAAGGGCAGGCACTGAGGGAGGGCCCCCGAAAAGGCGTTGCTGCCTAGGAGCCCGCAGGTGGACGGGCAGGCATGTGGAAAGGGGGCCAGGTGGAAGGGGGGGCAGGTGGAAGGGGGGGCAGGTGGAAGGGGGGGCAGGTGGATGCCCTCTACACGGATGCCCACATTCATACCTGCCTGCTTGCCACTGGGCCTGAGGGTAACATAACCTGAATGCTACACTGTGTGAATGCTAAGTCATCTGCGCATTACACTATCCAAACATTGCATGGTGAGCGCGTTACATAGTGTGGATGGTGCACCGACCGAGTGAACGTTACAGCACGTGAACGTTACAGCACGTGGGCTGCTAAATTACCTGAGCGTGTTGTTGCATAGCGTGAATGGTACAGCATGTGGTGTGGACGTTACAGCATGTGGTGCGGATGTTACAGCATGTGGATGTTACAGCATGTGGATGTTACAGCATGTGGATGTTACATGATCTGCAGCACGGATTGGCAGAGGTACTCTGGGATGGGGCCTGACAGCTGGTTGTGGTGCACCGCCCTGCAGACATGGGGGGGTGGGAAGCACGAGGGGAGAGGGGAGGGGGGAACGGGAGGCAGAAGGAAGGGGGAGAACGGGAAGCAGGGATGGGCGGACAGGAAGCAGAAGGGGAATGGGGGCTGGGCGGGCAGGAAAGCAAGAGGGCGCATGGGAGATGCACGAGAAGCAGGGGGAAGGAATGGGGGGCGGGTGGGCGAGAAGCAAGAAGAGGCATGTGCGATGGCGGGGCAGGGGACGCAAACCAAACAAGAAAAGCACGACTCAAAGACAGCTCGAGCAGGGAAGCTGGGCTGACGAGAGTAAGAGCAACGGCATGTGGTGTGGTGGCACTCACAGCATGGGCGGGCACTCACAGCAGGGCCAGACGCTTGAGATTGATATGGGGGCTCTCCAGCGAGCCTGAGAGCATGTTGAATGAGAGATCGCTGCGGAGGAAAATGGGAGCGTGCTGAATGCGTGTTGAGCGAGTCGAGGGAGAGAGACACACGTGGGTGGGCGGAACTGGGAGAAGGAAAAGCGATGCGTGAGAGAACACGCACCAGGAAAGGGAGGGTGCAGGAGGGAAAGGGGAGGGAGAGGGAAGGGGATGGGAGTTTATACTCTCAAGATTCAAATGGAATAATTACCAGGGATCTCGTAGTTACCAGGGATCTCGTGGTTACCAGGGTTTTTGTGGTTACCGGGGCTCTTGTGGTTACCAAGGCCCTCATCGTTACTTGGGCATACACACATGATGCGAGCTGGACTGGCAGCAGCGTTGGGCAGAGGGCCTGAGAGGCGGTTGTGAGACACATTGCTGGGATGGTGAGTTGTGTGGCAGGGGGCAGGGGGAGAGAGGGCAGAGGGGCGGAGGGCAGAGGGGCGGAGGTCAGACTACACGAGGACTGATGGTGGGATGAATGAAGCCAAGATGTATGGCTGGTTCCTAGAAGCTGCTGTTTTGATGCCGGAAATAACTGATGGGTGGTAGTATAGATAGGAAAGTTGACTGACAGGTGGGAGAGGTTTCGCAGGTTGAAGATGGAGGGAGGCAGCGAGGCGGAGAACAGGTTGATAGCCATGTCCCTGCCATGGCATGGCATGGCGAGGCATGGGAAAGGGTAAGGGGTGGGTGGGCGTGTGATGGCCTTGTTGTGGTCACGTGATGCACATACACAATCATGGCATGGGCGAGGGCAGCGGAATGGATGTCCATGTGTCTCTGCCGCGGGTTTTGGGTGGGTGGCTCATGCTGACATCCGATGTCATGACATTGCATGCTGCTGAAATAAGATGTGATGACATTGTATGCTGCTGAAATAAGATGTGATGACATTGCATGCTGCTGAAATAAGATGTGATGACATTGCATGCTGCTGAAATAAGATGTCATGACATTGCATGCTGCTGAAATAAGATGTGATGACATTGCATGCTGCTGAAATAAGATGTGATGACATTGCATGCTGCTGAAATAAGATGTGATGACATTGCATGCTGCTGAAATAAGATGTGATGACATTGCATGCTGCTGAAATAAGATGTGATGACATTGCATGCTGCTGAAATAAGATGTGATGACATTGCATGCTGCTGAAATAAGATGTCATGACATTGCATGCTGCTGAAATAAGATGTCATGACATTGCATGCTGCTGAAATAAGATGTTATGACTGGCATGCTGCTGAAATCAGATGGCGTGCTGCTGAAACCAGAACTCATGACATGGCATCCTGCTAACATGTCAAGACATGGCTCATACAGGTGGGTCATGCCATTACAGGTGGGTCATGCCATACAGGTGGGTCATGCCATACAGGTGGGACAGGTTGGGCATGCGACCAAAGAAGGGCGGAACAGAGCTGTTCAATGCGTTGGCTGAGATGTCACTGTGAGGCATGGGGGGATGGGGGGGAATGGCAGGGCGTGGAGGTATGGCAGGGCATGGGGGGTGAACGACAGGGATTTAGGGAAGATGAAGCGATGGGAGGCAAGAGGATACGAGAATGCGGAGGGCAGGAACGGGAAACACCCATATTTAACGTGGTAAGCTGGTACCACGTGCCCCCCCACTGCACCGAGCCCATGCCTCATGCCCCATGCCTCATGCCCCATGCCTCATGCTCCATGGCCAATGGCCCACGCTCCATGCATCATGTCCCATGCCGCACACCACAAGCCCCACACCCCTGCCCACACGAGGGCCTCACACAATCTCGAGGGAGGTCAGAGGAGAGAGGGCCGGTGTGATGTCTCCTGACAGCTGATTGGACGACACGTTGCTGGGAGGGGGCATGGATGAGTATGGTATGGGGTACAGAGAATGAAGCGTAGGGTGTGGGGTACAGGGTATAGATTATTAGGTGGTGGTATCTCGCACAAGGCATGGCATATGGGCGGCATGCAAGTGGGCATGGCAGTGCAATGAATCGAGTAACATTGCATGGCTTGACATGGCATGACGCGAAGCAGCGGTGGCGAGCAAGGGAGAGGAGGCCGCACAGGTAGGTGAGGAAGGAGAGGCGCGAGAGAGCCCGGGGAATGGAGCCCTGCAGCAGGTTGTGTGCCAGGTTGCTGGTAGGCACGGTTGATAAACGGTGGGAAATGATGGAAACGGGTAGGCAGGGGTGAGTAGTAGGGGTGGGTAAAAGCAGGAATTGTCCATATCAAGAGAGCTTGGGGAATGGAGCCCTGCGGCAGGCTGTGCAGCAGGTTGCTGGTCAATAGGGGGGCGCGGTGGAGAGGGGTAGACATGGGTGGGTGGGGGTGGGTAGGAGCAGGAGTTGTCAATATTAAGATGTGACAGCGACGTACCATGTTACCTGAGGTGCAATGTCACACGCACACATACCAACACACATGCTCGCACACATGTCGTCATCTCACATGCTGACTTGGCACCTCACAATTGCTGTCATGGCATCTCACATGCTACCGAGGTTATAGGGGTTGCTGATAGCCGGTGGAACGGTGCCAGTGAACTGGTTGGAAGAGAGGTCGCTGCACGTGGGGAGGGGCAGGGAAAGGTGCGGAGGTGAGGAGTGGAGTGAGGGTAGGGAGAGGGGTGCACGCGACGAGAGACGCAATTGTGGAAAAGGAGAGTGGCAAGGAGTGTGAAAATGGACAGCTGAGCGAGGGCACACAGAATCATGCGCACAGGGCAAAGCAAGGGGACATACATCAGAGTGAGTGAGTTGAGTTGCGAAATGAAGGCTGGAATGGAACCTGTGAGGAGGTTGCCTGACATGTCCCTGTGTGTGAGGGGAGGGGGGGTGCACAGGGACATGGTGGGGAGGAGACAAGGAGAGTAAGGGCGGTGAAAGGCGAGACAGAGAGGGAATGGGGGTGGGAGGGGAGAAAGTTTAGGAAAGCATGGGTGTGAGGCACGAGAGTGAGGGACAACAGAGAGGGATAGAGCATAGCGCATAGAGATGTGGTAAGGTGAGGGCAGCGCACGGCTCGTGGAGGTCGGTGAGGGTGGAGAGGGAGGGGTGGAGCACTACTTTGCACGCACGCCATGTTTGGAAATACTCAAGAAGCGCTCAGACAAGTGGGACGGGCAGGCAGGGCAGCGCACAGCTGGCGGAGGTAGCTGAACTGCCCCCCTCCTCCATCCTCCAGCAATTTCTCGCACAACAGATTCTCAGGAACGCTCGACCCCTCCCTCTCATGATTGTGCAGACTGGGTTGTTACAGTCAGTGGCTCATGATTGTGTGTTGCTGTGGGTGGCTGCACTCGCATTCATGATCAGTGTGCTGCACACGCATTCATGATCAGTGTGCTGTACACACGCTCACCAACCAAGCTGCCTGAACTATCTCACATACATGGTGTCAGCAGTATTAGGGCCCTCATTTGGCCTCGAAAAGAACGCTCGGCCCGATAAATTGTTGTGGGAGATGTCGCTGGGAAGGGAAACCAAGGCAGGGGAGGGGCCACATTTCAGGCGCTTCAGATAGAGCAGAAAAATGGTTTGGGAGAGGGAAACAAGGGGGGAGTGCGAGATGGGGGAGGTGGGGGGTGCGAAAACAAGGTGAGGGGGTGGGGGACCTGGCTTTGCTGTGCTCTTTCAAATTTATTCGAAGACAAAGGACGAGAAGAGGGAAGGGCGACTTGACGCTTGTGGATTTTTAGTCGACCAAAAAATCGACTTATCACAAGAGGGAAGGGCGACTTGTTGCATGTGGTTTCTGAGAACTCTTAAGAACCACATGAAACAAGGGGGATGGGCGACGCACAGGATGAAGGAGGGGGATGGGCGACGCACAGGATGAAGGAGAAGGAGGGGCTACTCACAGGATGTAGAAGTTGACGATGAAGTCAAAGGGGATTTCCCCCGAGAGGTGGTTGAAGGACGCGTTGCTGCCAGACAGGGTGCACAGGGTTGCACACGGGAACAAAGGTGTGAACAGGGGTACACAGGGGTGCACAGGGGCACACAGGGGAGCACAGGAAAACACAGGGGGAGCACAGGGAGGCACAGAGTGCACAGCAGCCCACATTGACGGGAATTGGTAGGCAGGGAAAGAAGGATAGAGATTAGGTTGGAAAGGAAAGCAGTTAGATGGAAGGAAAAGAGTGTGCCTCACAAGTGAAGGGCTTCAAAGCAGAGGGGTCAGAAGCAGAGGGCACTCACAATATTGGGCTGCCATAATCTTCTTTGAACTTAAGACCAGAAGGCAGAGGCCCTGTGAGCTCGTTCACTGACACGTCACTGGAACACCGTGATTGGGGGGAGGGGTGTGTGCGGGAGGAAGGAGAAGATGAGTTTTGACAGTCGAGTCAAAACCTGCGATGCCGTTCAGTGACATGTCACTGGTAGGACGAGATGAGGACGGGAGGGGCGGCAGAGGTGGATGGAAGGGAGAAGATGCTGAGGCGAGGATGGAGCCGAAGGAGAAGGAGAAGGAGAAGGAGAATTTGGTGTATTAAGTAGGAGTGAGAGCTATTGGCCGAAATGGATGTGAGGAGCAAGATGAATGGATGCTTGCTGGAGAGAGGAGGCAGGGCATGCCATGGTGAATTGCGCATGGAGCACGGTGCATGTCGTATGGCACGTGCCGCATGGTGCATGGAGCATGGGACATGATGTCGACGCATGACACATGATGTCGACGCATGACACATGATGTCGACGCATGACACATGATGTCGACGCATGAGTCATGACACATGACGTCGATGCATGACAGATGCGCATGGCACATGGTATTGTAGTAAGAGGCATACAAGGAGGAAAAGACATTGCTGGCAAAGGTGGACGGTATGGACCCATTGAAGCGGTTGCAGCACAGGTAGCTGCACGGGGCAATGGGCAAGGGGACAACTTCTGAGGCGCCTCAAAAGCCGAATGTGGATGAATGGTATGGAAGACAGTGAGGCGGTTGCAGCATAGGAAGATTCCAGTGGCAACGGGGAGACAGAGAAGGAGAGATAGAGAGTGGGAAAGGCGTTTTGGTGAAGACAGAAAAAGAGTCTGTTGTACTGACAGGGCACAGAGGCCGAGAGATGTGCTCACAAGGCGTGGGGGGTGGGATAAGTGCTCACATGCTGGTGAGGGAAGAGAGAGCAGCAAGGGGCCCCAGCGACCCCGAAAACAAGTTGTTGTCCAGCAGACTGCCGTGTGGGGGGGGGGAGGGAGAACATGGATGGTGCATGGGGTTGTGAAACATGGGGTTGTGAAACATGGGGTTGTGAAACATGGGGTTGTGAAACATGGGGTTGTGAAACATGGGGTTGTGAAACATGGGGTTGCGGGGCAGGGGGCAGGGGGTTGTGGGATGGAGGGGGAGATGGGGGTGTGGGGAGTAGCAAGGAGGTGAAGGTCACGGTGGAAAAGGGGTTTGCTGTGACATTGGTCCGTGGCAGATGTGGCGGGTGGTATGATGGAAGTTGATTGGCAGGATGGTGGCAGTTAACGGCGGTGCTCATGGAATGGCAAGGCATGGCGCGGCATGGAGCTGAGACTTAGATAAAACTGTGACTCACATGGAGCTGAGATACGGCATGGCATAGCATGGCATGGCATGGGTAGCATGGCATGGGATGGCATGGCATGGCATGACATGGCATGAGATGGCATGGTATGACATGGCATGGGATGTCAAGGTATGGCATGGCATGGCATGGCATGGCGTGGCATGGCATGGCATGGCGTGGCATGGCATGGCATAGCGTGGCATGGCATGGCATGGCGTGGCATGGCATGGCGTGGCATGGCATGGCATGGCATGGCATGGCATGGCATGGCATGGCATGGCGTGGCATGGCATGGCATGGCGTGGCATGGCATGGCGTGGCATGGCATGGCGTGGCATGGCATGGCGTGGCATGGCATGGCGTGGCATGGCATGGCGTGGCATGGCATGGCATGGCGTGGCATGGCATGGCGTGGCATGGCATGGCGTGGCATGGCATGGCATGGCGTGGCATGGCATGGCATGGCGTGGCATGGCATGGCATGGCATGGCGTGGCATGGCATGGCATGGCGTGGCATGGCATGGCGTGGCATGGCATGGCGTGGCATGGCATGGCGTGGCATGGCATGGCGTGGCATGGCATGGCATGGCATGGCATGGCGTGGGATGGCATGGCATGGCATGGCATGGCATGGCATGGCATGGCATGGCATGGCATGGCATGGAGGTGACACTCACAGGGAGCTAAGGCTGGCCATTCTGGACAAAGACTTGGGGATGGTCCCTGACAGGTGGTTGTATGACAAGGCTCTGCATGCACACAAGTCATTTGGCATGCACACAAGTCATTTGGCATGCACACAAGTCATTTGGCTTGCGCACGCACACGGGGGTGAGATGATAGTGACTGGGATACAATACAATGATTGAGGGGAGGCGGTTGACAGCTAAGTTGCCAAATACGCTTATTGCGTATATACGCGTATCGTACATACGCTAGCGTATGTACGCTATCCGCGTAGGGGGTCGATGTGGACATACGCTTTTCCGGGCAGAGAAAAAACTTTCCGGGCAGAGTGGGAAATAAAGTACTCCCTATTCTCACTATGACGTGCCCTAGCAGCATTATTCTGAGTCCGAACGGCGAGTGGGGCGGGAAGTGGGGTAGACATTTCAGCTAGAGAGAGAAGTAGGAGTGGGCGGGAGGAACTCTGCTGGAAGTGGGAATGAATCGTGGGAAATGACGAATTAGCAGCTAGGTTGTCTGGTACAGGGTTCAAAAAAACGACCGTTTTATTGAAAAATTACCGTAAAAAACGGTACCGTAAAAAACGGTCGTAAAAAACGGTTAAAAACGGTTCCAGGAGGTGTTTCCTCTATAACTAACAAAACGGCCACCTAGTGGGACCAAATTGAACCCGAAATGCAGCAGCATGAAGGGGATGGATCCCATTTTGCATTTATGCGCTTGTTGGCATGATTGAAAATGTTTTTGACCTTGTTTTTCTATATTTTTTCTTGGTGAACAGAGTTCTCTAACAAAAAAACGGCCGTTTTTTTGAAAAATCGCCGTAAAAAACGACAGTAAAAAACGGACCGTATTTTACGGAAACCGTAATTTTGAACCTTGGTCTGGTACGTAGTGTGAAAGGTTAGTTGAGGGGTCGATTTTGACAGGTTGGAGTTTGTAAAAGGGTTGGGATGGGTTTCAATGCGGTAGATGAGATGGGTTTCAATCAATGTGTAGATCTGAAATTCGACATTTGCCAAATGTGCCTCACAATTTGAAGTCAGATCCCCGCTAGCCTAGACCACGGATTTTCAATTTGACTTCGGCAAAATGCTCACCTAAATAATCTGCAACTATTTCGCGATGTTTTTTTCCCGGGCAGCCCGGAAGATTTTCTGAAAGCGTGTAGCGTATTCGCGGGCGTATAGCGCATAGCGTACAAACGCTAGCGTACATACGCTATACGCTGAAGGGGTTGAGCGTATTTGGCAACCTAGGTTGACAGATGAAAGCTGAGAAAACTCATGCAGATCACAGCGTTAAAAGGCCTTCACAGGCTGCAGAGCTGATAAGCGCTGTACCGGCGCCGCCCATGGTCACTCACATGGTCACATGGTCACTCACATGCAAGCATGTTCACTCACATCCTAACATGGTCACTCACATGCTAACTTGGTCACTCACATGCCAACATGGTCACTCACATGCTAACATGGTCACTCACATGCTCACATGGTCACTCACATGCTAACATGGTCACTCACATGCTAACATGGTCACTCACATGCTCACATGGTCACTCACATGCTAACATGGTCACTCACATGCTAACATGGTCACTCACATGCTCACATGGTCACTCACATGCTCACATGGTCACTCACATGCTAACATGGTCACTCACATGCTAACATGGTCACTCACATGCAAGCATGTTCACTCACATCCTAACATGGTCACTCACATGCTAACATGGTCACTCACATGCTAACATGGTCACTCACATGCTAACATGGTCGCTCACATGCTAACATGGTCCCTCACATGCTCACATGGTCGCTCACATGCTAACATGCTCCCTCACATGCTCACATGGTCACTCACATGCTCACATGGTCACTCACATGCTAACATGGTCACTCACATGCTAACATGGTCACTCACATGCTAACATGGTCACTCACATGCTAACATGGTCACTCACATGCTCACATGGTCGCTCACATGCTAACATGGTCACTCACATGCTAACATGGTCACTCACATGCTAACATGGTCGCTCACATGCTAACATGGTCCCTCACATGCTCACATGGTCGCTCACATGCTAACATGCTCCCTCACATGCTCACATGGTCGCTCAGATATGCTAATTCGTGACGGGTGGCTCACAAGTTGTTGAGGTTGGTGAGGCGCCCCATGCTGCTGGGCAGTGACCCTGTCAAGGCATTCTCCATCAAGACCCTGCAGAGGGGGGGGGGGGGAATAGCAGAGAGAGGAGGGAGCGGAGGGAGCGGAGGGAGAGGATGGAGAGGAGGGAGTGGAGGGAGAGGAGGGAGAGGAGGGAGAGGAGGGAGAGGATGATGCGAAGGGGGTGCAGATGGGGCGAGGGCAGAAACCAGAGGGATGACATGGGTGCTTGGAGAAAACGGAAGGGAGGGAGGGCGAGGTGTAAACGTGGATGCTTGGTAGCGCACATACATGCCGGGCAGCACACACACATGCCAGGCAGCAGCACACATACATGCCAGGCAGCTGCAAACATACATGAGGGGCGGCGCACACATGCCGGACAGCGCACATACATGCCGGACGGCACACATACATGCCGGACGGCGCACATACAGCTCGCTGAGAGAGACCATGCTGCCGATGGAATCAGGAAGGCTTTCTGCGAAGTTGTTCCTGTCCATGTACCTGATAAAGGTAGGGGCGGCTTGGCATGGCACGGCTTGGCATGGCACAGCATGACATGGCATGGCAATGATGGCATGGCATGGCATGGCATGGCATGGCATGGCATGGCATGGCACGGCATGACATGGCACGGCACGGCATGGCATGGCATGGCATGGGTTGGCATGTCATTGCACAGCACGCCATGGGATGGGATAGCACGGCATGGCATGACATGGCATGGCATGGCATGGCATGGCATGGCATGGCGTGGAATGGGATGGCATGGCATGGCATGGCATGGCACGGCATGGGATGGCATGGCATGGCACGGCATGGGATGGCATGGCATGGCACGGCAAGGGATGGCATGGCATGGTACGGCAAGGGATGGCATGGCATGGCACGGCATGGGATGGCAGAACATAGGAGCGGGTAGAGCCTATTGGCAACCGCCAGCTGGTGGAAGTGGATGGCCTAACAAATTGCCTGGCTGCCAGGGACAAAACTGTGCCTGACAGGTACGAATGTGACTGACAGGGAAGACTTGTTAACTGACAGAGAGAAGTTGACTGACAGGTAGAAAATGTTGAATGACAGATAGGAATTGTTGACTGACAGGTGGAAAGCGTTACTGACAGGACGGAGAGCTTGGTGAGTCTGCTGAAGAAGGTGGGGAAAGGGCCTGATAAGGAGTTGTTGGAGAGGTCCCTGTCATGCATGCATGCCACACACTCGTGCGCACACACGTGCATCCACACACACACACACACACACACACACACACACACACACACACACACACACATTTATCCATACACTCGCACACGTGCGTGCAAACATGCATACACACTCACAAAATGTACGCACACACTCTCGCACATACACTCACACATGCACAGGCACACACGCACATGCCATAGAGGCAACGTTGACTGACAGAGGGACGGAGTTAACTGACAGATGAACGAAGCTAATCAACAGGGGGCGAACTCAAGTAGCACAGGGAACAACGTTAACAGAGAGGGGCGAAGCGAACTGACAGATATGTGAGATTGACGAGGTTGCCGATATCAGAGGGGATGGAGCCACGCAGGTAGTTGTCTCGCAGAGACCTGCGAATGGCTCACATCCGCGTTGGTCGCATGCATCATGCATGGCATGGCATGTCATGGTAGGAGACGCACGTATTGCATGGTATCAGGTTCTTAGTTGGGATGCGTTGAATAATGGCGCATGATTCAACGCAGCAGGCCTGTCCCAACACATGTGGCTTTCTGTTGCTCAAAGCGCAGACGCTCACAGGCATTCAAGGTGCTTCAAGCGCGGAGCCTCACAGGTATTCAAGGTGCTTCAAGTCAAGCGCGGACGCTCACAGGTATTCAAGATGCATCAGCTGGAAAATCTCTGAAGGCAGCTCCCCTTGTATTGCCTTGTTGCCCCAATTGCTGCGCGCGCAACAGCCACGAGTCAAGGCAAGAAAGTGACACTCGCAAGCATATCTCGTACGTACTCCTCCTGCTACCCTAACCTGGGCATCAGCACCAGCGACGGCATGATTAGCAGCAGCAACAGCAGCACTGACATTTGAGTGACGTAGCCACTGTCGCTGCAAGTGAGACCGAGATTGACGCAGGTGGTGACGCCAGTCAGGTCGTACGGAAGGTAATCCAGACGCATTGCCACATACAATAGACTTTGCGCTGCCAAGCATCAGATGAGGAACGTTACCGTTAGGCCCAGAGTGCATGAGAGTATACCTATGCTGGTTGGCAGAATTGAGCTGAGAGTGCGCTGGACCATTGCGAGAAATACTGAGAAACGAAGCAACATTGCGTGAAATACTGAAGAATCGAAGCGATATAATGCTGAGAATAGAAACTGATATAGCGTTACATACTGAGAAAAGAAGCCGACACTGCGCGAACGAAGCCTACATTGCGTAGGAAAGCCGCATCGTGATAGCGAGCTTACCCTCCGTGTAATCGAGCGGCAAGCACTGCTGCAGGCTCGTGTCCTGACCCGCGCACGGTACGGCGTTACCCGCCAGTAGCAGCAGCTGCACCAGAGCCGCTAACGCCAAGGCGCTCCCCTTGGAAGCCGCCATCCGATTCACCCGAGTTGCGAAATCTTAAGGCTAACAAATAACAAACCGACGTTTGCGGAGAGCTAAGACGAAACTGCACGCACAGTGCGTGTTGTTCAGGTTGGTCCTTGTAGAGGCTGGTTGTCAGGCTGCAAACTACGGTGTAACACAAGTTACTTCACCAGATAAGCAATCAAGCCGGCTAGAATGTGACGAGCAGTTCGGGTTGCACAAGCACTGCCATGGTCGGCTGGGCTCGCTTGCTGGCCTATCCAACCCAGTCATCCAGCAGTGAGAAAGTGGCAAAAACTCGGAATGCAATACGGTACTTATCTCGATGGTGTGGTGTGTGGTGTCTTTCCGGGTGCTGGGCAAGGCAAGGTAGGCAAGGAAACTTGGTCGCATCCAAACCCAACCAGGCCTGGGCATGCGCGACATGCCTAAGGTAAGGTTCGGCTTGGTGCGGCTGGCAAAGCGGCTGTGCAGCGCATCCAAACCAAGGTTCGGAACGAAAGCAACTTTGAGGGAGGACGACAACCACGTTCAAAAACAACACTGGGCCATACGCGCTTAGCAGTTTCTCATGCTAAGTCACTAACTGCGTGTTGCAATTCGCGGTGCACTGCGTCGGCTCGGCTCGTGGCACGGGTTTAGGAAGGCTCCAGGAACGCAAGAGGCCGCGCAAAAACAATCTATGTCCTGATATAACCTTATCAAATAACTCTTTAAATCGCTATCTTGAAACTCTTCTTTCCCGAATCAGTGCCCGTGTTTGGCCTCCCGCCTGCTTGGAGCCTTCCAAACGTCCTGAGCCGATGCAGTGCACCGCCAAGTGCAACACGCCGTAAACGAGTATATTCCAAACGCCTGAACATTTTTGTTGGAATAACCGAAAGGTAATTATAAACATTCCCGAAGGTTCTTCACTCCCGCGTCACTCCATAACGAAGTGCACGCCTGTACCAGTACCGCAATAGCTCATATAGAGCACGCGGAAGGTCGAGGGTCACCCGAAGGTCAACAGTCCAAAACAGTCAACGGTCGTGACCCTCGACTGTCCAGTAACCGCACAAGGCAGTTGCGAAGTGCGACATGATAACTGTCCAGAATGGCAATAGTCGTGGGTTACTGTAGCAATGCAAATCAGTTAATAAGGGAATGTACCCCTCAGAGTACATGGCTAGCTAGGAATGCTATTTATATCCTTGTACTTCTATCTTATAATCATCTTGTTCCTTCAAATTCTCATTAACAAGGTCACCACAGAGACTTCATTGTCTCCTCTCAGACTTAGCAGATCTTGTCCTATCTACTTGATCCTTTTGTTATATCAGCAGTTTTTATCCCTTACCGTATGTTCATTGATCCAACACCTCTTTCAACCATCGTATGGTGTGTTGCAACACCACATCGAAGCAAACTGATTGCTCGGCTACATTATTCATGGTAGGGCGCCATAAGGTGCATCCTCATGGCATATTCTCAAACTAACGTATGGCCGTGTCAGCACACACGCCAGCACAACCGTGTGGTGAAAGCAACCGTCCTGGTTTAACTGACGCCACAAACTCAACTTAGCGAGTAAAAACCAGAGCCTAGGATCAATCCGACGGGCTCGGAGCAAGGATTCCGTAGCAACTTAGATCACTGAAATCGCCCAGGAGTTGGAAGAGAAAACGTTGTTCATATAGAGATGGGTACACAAGTCGTACAAGGCATGAACTCTCTGTTTTGCTCTCTGGATTTTATAGCTAAAACACACAAGAATAGTTGTAACATCGAACCGCGCGCGACTCGCTAGAAATTCGGACTCAGGATCGCGTCCAATTTCCGCGACACCCGCGCTCAATATTTCAGACTTTGCTGGGTTCATTTCAACACGCCAAAAGCGTGTGTTACACGAAATTGTAGCGAGATGTTCAAAACATTCGCTATCACTCTCGCTATTTTCGTGAGTGTTTGTAGGGCTGCCAAGTGTCGACCCCACAAGGATTCGGACCCAACCGGGGGCGAACTTGGTTGAGTGGCGACGCGGGCAATCCGCCGTCACCCCTCATTCCGAGAAAGAACCCTCCCTTGGTCCGAGTCAAGGGAGGTCTTCGCGTGGGGGGCAATCCCGTCCCCCACACTTCCAACACTCCCCCTTGCACCCCACGCACACCTAAGCATGCAAGCCTACCCTAGCACAACATGCATGAAGAGCATCTCTAGGCAATGGCTTGGTGAGGAAGTCCGCGGGTTGCGAGTTGGTCTTGATGTAACGAAGCTCGACTTCGTTGTCTTCAACGAGCTTGCGAATGTAGTGGTGACGGATTTGAATGTGCTTGGTCCTTCCGTGGAGGACCGAGTTCTTGGCTAGGCCAATGGCGGCTTGGTTGTCCACGTAGATGGGAGTGGGGCCTTCTTGTTTGTGCCCAAGCTCAGCAAGAAGGCGCCTTAGCCAAACCCATTCCGTACCACCACGAGTGAGCGCCACATACTCCGCTTCGGTGGAGCTAAGTGCAATCGAGTTTTGGCGCTTGCTTTGCCAACTTATTGCACCTCCCACGAGGGTCAAGATATAGCCCGAAGTGCTTTGGCGGGTTGAAGAATCTCCCGCCCAATCCGCATCCGTGTAGCCTTGTAGCACCACGGGTCCCTTCTCGTAGTGCAACCCCATTCGAGTGGTGCCCTTTATGTAGCGAAGAAGGCGACGTGACGCTCGCACATGCTCGACCATGGGGTTGGAGACGACACGTCCAAGCACTCCAACGGGAAAGGAGAGGTCGGGTCGAGTACTCACCGCGGCATACATGCACGACCCAACGACCGAGTGGAAGGCCTTGGCGCTCTCAGGATCCATGGGGTTCTCATCGCTCACGGCTAAGGGATGAAACCCTGCTTCCATGGGTGTCGGTGTAGGCTTGCTCTCAATCATGCCGAAGCAATCCACCACACTCTCCAAGTACTTGTGTTGGTGGAGAGCGAGGGTCTTGTTCCCTCGATCACGATCAATGTCCATCCCTATGTAGTGAGAGACGGCGCCGAGGTCACGCATGGAGAATTCAGCGGCAAGCTTCGTCTTCACGTCCGCTACAAGGGTCTTGGAACCCGACACGAGAGGAAGGTCGTCGACGTAGAGGAGAAGAACGAGCTTCTTCTCATCCTTGTTGAGCACGTAGAGCGCGTGGTACACTCGCTCCGGACGAACCCCAACGAGAGCAAGTGTTCGTCGATCGTCGTGTACCACGCACGAGGGCTTTGCTTGAGGCCGTAGATGGTTCTCTTGAGCTTGCACACGCGGTCGGAGTCGTCGTCGAGCCCGGGAGGTTGCTTCATGTACACCTCCTCCTTGAGACGACCGTAGAGAAACGCCGTCTTCACGTCGAGTTGTTCCACCTCCAAGTCGAGTGCTCCCGCCAACGCCAAGAGAGTGCGCAAGGTGGCGGACTTGGCGACGGGAGCGAACGTCTCGTTGTAATGAAGACCCTACTTTTGCGTGTACCCTTGAGCCACCAACCGCACCTTGTACCGCTCTACTTCTCCATTGGGGCCGAGCTTCTTCTTGAAGACCCAACGAGAGCCAACGAGGTAGGCGCCGGGAGGCATGGGGACGAGCTCGTAGACGTCGTTCGCCATGAGCGAATCATACTCCTCTTGAAGCGCACGTTCCCATTCCGCCGCTTCCGCTGAGCTCATGGCGCCTTGGTAGGTGGACGGGGTGTCGGTGTACGCCTCAAGACACATAGCATCTCCCCCTCCCTCATCGTCCCCCGCCACAAGTGAATAGCCATCAAACTTGGAGTTGGAATGAGGGTTCCTCCGAGTGCGAGTGGATGCGAGGGTGGGAGTGATAGTAGGAGGAGGAGACGAAGGATCACTTTCATTGGCACTTCCTTCATCCCCACTCACTCCAACCACACCCGATCCATTCTCCCTCTCACTCGTACTAGGAGGAGAACCCGTAGGAGCTTCATCCGCCTCATCCGCTACATCCAAGGGTGGAGGGACAATGATGACCGAGGGCACGTGCATGGACTTGGACGGGAAGGTGTCTTCGTAGAACACCACGTCGCGCGACACCACGAGTTTCCCGTGCTCCAAGTCCCACACACGCCACGCCTTGTGATCCGCGCTTGGACCCAAGTACATCGCCACCCATGCCTTCGCCTCAAGCTTGGTCCGTGTGGCATACGGGACATGGTAGTAGCACGTACACCCAAACGTGCGAAGGTCGGTGACGTCCGGCTTCGTACCGCTCCAAGCCTCAAGAGGCGTCTTGTTCGGTAACGCCTTGGTCACGCACCGGTTGCGAATCCAAGTTGCCAACGTAACCGCCTCACCCCACCAATGCTTCTCCGCGTGAGCATGGGAGAGGAGACTCCGTGACGACTCCATGAGCGTGCGATTCAAGCGTTCGGCGGCTCCATTTTGTTGAGGCGTGTACGGCGTCAAGTACTCATGCGCGGTCCCACGCCCTTGCAACCAATCGCCGAGCTCCCGAGCGGTGTATTCGCCACCTCCATCCGAGCGAAAGCGCTTCACCTTGAAGCCGCTTTCTGTCTCCACATCCGCTACCCATTTCTTGATGGCAGTTGACGTGTCGTCCTTGTTCTTGAGAAGCCAAATCCAACACATCCGCGTCGCGTCGTTGAGGAGCGTGAGAACGTAGCGCGCGCCGCCCTTCGACGCGGGAGTGATCGGTCTGCACAAGTCCATGTGAACGAGCTTGAGAGGTTCGGCGGCGTTCGGCGTCATACTCGGTGGAAAAGGCTTCCGTGCCATTTTCCTTTCAAGGCAACCGACGCACTTCTCGTCATCTCCACTTGAGCGCACAAACTCCAAGCCGTCGGCCATCCTCGTTGCCATAGCTTGAATAGCCGCATGGTGGAGGTGGCCAAGCCGATTATGCCACGTTGAGAGTGAGGTTGCCGAGGTAGCCGCTTGCGCCGATGCCACGCTAGGGAGAGCGTCAAGCACAAAGAGTCCTCCCGCTTGGCGTGGCGTGCCGATGTGTACGCCATCCGCCGTGCTCAACGCCA